TGCTGCTTGTGTATTTGTTATTGTTTATGGTGTTGGGGATAACATTCCCGATGCTGCGCTGATCGTTATGGACGATGTTCCTTGAGCTGTACGGTGTGCCTCTCACTCTGCTGCTGTGATGAGATCCTACTGGCATGGACAAGTACACTCTGCAGCCCCATACAAGTTTATAATGATGAGCACTTCTGCTGCTGCTGCCCATACGTAGTGGAGGATGAAGAGGTGTATGGGCTGGTGCTAGAAGCAGTCACAATGAGAGAGAAATATATATGAGTGCACAGAGAGAGAGAGAGAGAGAGAGAGAATAGTGAAACCTCTTCCACTACTAATGGGGTGGGTGTTGGCAGGACTCATTCAAGTGAGGGAGAATCCAATGGCGGGATCCATTGAAGTCATCTCTTATTCTTTCCATACTTGAAGGAAACCAATTAATATGCATTCAGAAACTCCTTTCATTACCCACACCAGTACAACGGATTAGGCAGCAGTCTTCTGTCAGCACAGAGAAAGATATCTCAACAATAGAACGGCGGTGAGATTGAGAAAGAAATGGATGTTACTAAACCAGCAGAGGGTAATTCAAGAAAGGAACACTGTCAATACACCCAATAAAGAGAAAACAGCACCAGGAATTACACACATCACAAAGGAACATACGGAACTATTCCAGACTGCAGTTCACTACCATCCACACAGCTAACACTAGAATCAGAAAGAGACTCAACACTCACTGAAGAAGTACAAACATCAGCACAAGGTTCACATTACGCTGCAGAAGCAACAAAAACACACACATGGAACAGGTTCACTGATAGGAGTAGTAGATCTTGGCGCATCTTCATCACAATCATACAAAGTGGGCATTGCCTAAATAAACCAGACTACACCATTAAAAATAAGAGCATATAGAGAGAAAGGCAACACATCAATAAAATAAACACACAAACATAAACAAAAACAAAACAAAATCAACCAGCAACAAATAAACATGAAACAAAGAAGAACACATAACCTAGAGTGTCCAATTAAAATAAAAAAAACAGACACAAACACAATACCCAGTATTAAACAGAAAATCTTAATTATCTCTGAAAGAAAGATATATAAATAATTAAAAAGTGCGACCAACAAGAGCACGAATAGAGAAATATATAGCTCTTGATTGGGTGGTCAGCATATAGCAAATTATAAATTTATGTAACAGTTATTATATATTTTCACTCTGCAGAAAGCAGACCATAAAAACGGTACAGAGCAAAGCACAAAACGACAACGCAAAAAACAAGTAAATAAAGAAAATTAAATATTTGTGCCCAATTTATCCAGTAAACACAAGAAATACACCGACTATGGGTGTAATTCTATATATGTGTATATACGCAATTATAAATATAAATTCATTTGTTATTATTATTTCTTTTTTCTCACTGCAAAAAACAAGTTCATCATCATCACAGTGCAAGCCCAGGCACACACAGAGAGTCCGCAAGAACACACACAATACCCCATGGCTTTAGTTTATGTATATTAAATTACTGCATACACACATCTGTGTGTACTAGCAAGAGATGTATACCGTCAGTGAGCAGAAGAGCCCAGTTTTCTGCAAACACACAACGGGAAAAGCAAGCAATGGAAATAATAAGAAAAAGAACACACACACACAAAAGTAGAATAAAAAAATTCATAATTAAAAGCAAAATATGGTAAACAGATTATTAGTTTATTCACCCATGGAGATGCACCCAAATATGATTATGTTAGTATTACCATTATTATTATTTGTCCTCAGATGAGGACCACCCGTTCAGCACACAAGAATACAGGCCAGTGTAACCACAATCAGTAGTGGCACACGCACCCACACAGAACTGCTGATACTGCTGCTGCTGTCTGCATCACCCTTCTTGTTGTTTGTGAGTT